TAGGGTTGCTGCCTTGTAACTGTAGAGGCACGGCCCTGGTGCAGTTATTCGCAATTTTTACTTTTAAATGGGCTTCGAACTTCCTTACTTTTGACCCAACTTTGAGAGCCTCTAAATAGGTCATTCTAGGGTTGAAACAATCACTTTTTGCTCAGTTTTTCTCATTCGTCTTAAGAGATGAAAAAGAAGAAGAAACTGAGAAAAGTCAAGTGGTAGCTCAAAGGAGGATTGTCTGCTTAGAGTTCTTAAACACCATTCTCGTTCTTCCTTTCCTTCTTTCTCTTGAACTCCAATGTCGTTAGCTTTGATTTTCTTTTCAATTATGTTAGGCTAGATTTTCCTTTTAGTTGAGGGTGAATTCAAAATCCTTGAAATGGATTTGTGATTGAATATTTTGATAAAAGTTTCCAACTTTCTATTAAGATTGTCTATGTTCGTCGAATTGCATTGTTTATGATTGTTTTCTTGTTTTATTTGGGTGGCTAACTAAATAGGACTTGAGAATTCTCTATTGTTAGATTAAGAATCTTGATCCGTAATTATCTTGATTTACTAATCACTAGAAACAAATTGTAGTCAATAATTGCAGGAGGCATTTGTTTGATTGCAAGTGGAACATAACCTAGGCTCATAATCTGAGCTTTTATGATTATTGCTTAGATCAACTTATCTTTCTTACCTTAATGTTTCAAATAGATTAAATCTAGAAAGCTTATTCTAGGTTGTTTGAGGGAAAGGAATTGAGTGAAGAGCTTATTTTGCTTAACGACAAACTAAGAAAAGATTTGGGTAATAGAGCTTGTTATTATCTACGGTTGATAGAGAAAGGGATTGAGTGAAGAGCTTATTTTGCTTAACGACAAACTAAGAAAAGATTTGAGTAATAGAGCTTGTTATTATCTACGGTTGATAGTTTTAATATGAAGGAGATAATATTACATGTTCATCATAATTCAATGTCATGTGGTGGAGAATAATTCTTTGACCGGTGTTTTTACCATTGTTATCTTCTTTAGTTAATTTCCATATTTGTTTTCTTTATTTCTTTTTAATTTTTGTTAATTTAATTTAATAATTCTAATCCATTTTATTTATATTTTCACTTTGCAAAATTAATAACTTATTAATTAAGACTAATCATATGTGAAAATGACTCTTACTTGCTACTGCACTCAATAACGCAATTTAAGTAGAGTTTTAATTTGAAAGTCCGCTAGGAAACCTATCACGGGGTTGGTGTTTGGAAGAAAAGAAAAGAGAGAAATAGAAGAGAGAAGGCGAGGGAAGAAGCTCTTGATGAATTTCTTGAAAAATGACTTTTCTCAAGTGTAGGTTTTTATATTGGAGTTTAATTTGAGTATAATTCTTGAGTTGAATTTGAGTTATAACTTGAGTTGAACTTGTAACTTGAGTTTGTGTTTGGTTGTGTACATTTGAGTTATAGTTTGAGATAAGAATCTTTTTGAGTTTGTGTTTGAGTGAGTCAAAACTCAAATTTGTATTTAGATAGTATTTTAATAAAAACTCAATGCTGATGAAAAATTTTAATATGGTATATGGGTCGGGTTTTATTCGTCTTTTCGTTATCAACGCATAGAAAAAAAATCATCTCAATCAGAATTAAAATGAAAAAGTTATAGCATTTTTAAAAATAGAAAAAATACTGTTCATTAATTTGAGTTCGAGTTTCTGAACTCGAGTTGAAGAGGAAACTTGAACTCAAGTTTTAGTCCTAAACTTGAGTTTGAACTCGAGTTTAAACTCGAGTTTAAACTTAAAAGAACATGAACTCGAATAAAGTTGTAACTCGAGTTACATTTTTTTGAGTTTTTAACTCAAAAGAACAAGAGTGTCTAGGGCCTCGTTCGTTTCGCTGATTCGAGTTTTGCTACATTAAAAAGCTCTCACAAATAATCACATCTAACTTTTTTACCACAGTAAAAAATTCTCACATAAAATTACATCTCAACTCGAATTCTAAACTCGAATCAGTGAAACGAACGAGGCCTCTCATGGCTATTAGAGTCGTTTAGGGCTGATTGGGTACTTGAGACACATGCAACGTGGTGCGATTTTCAAAACTTTTTGGATTATTTTTTCAGGACAGGTTGACCGATTAATGTTAAATGTTGTTGTAACCAGTCGACAGGTTGACCAATTTCAAATTGAGCGATTCAAATGGCATTGAAAAGATAGCGAAAAGATCTACAACTTTGTGTGAATCAGGATTTTCCTAATTCAAATCTTTTGAAGGACAAAAGGGCGTAAAAAGTAATATCATGTAAGTGGATGAATGACTTGGAAAGGAATAAAAACGTGGGATTTCATGATGTGTTTAAATCTTATGCTTACTATTCAGAAAAATTTTATAGAACTGTGGAAGTCTGTCTTGACTAGGAGCAATGCCCCTTTAATTCTGCGGTGATTGCTGGGCCTGTTGGTTCACCTATTGGCCTCTGATAGGACAATTCCTCTTGATATGCCCTAGCTCCCCCCAATGGTGGCATTTGAAGCTATAGGGTCCACTATTCCCACTTCCCGAAGAGCCACTGCTACCACTAGGCACTCCCTCACTACCTTGCCCTTGATCACGGCCTTTTTTGTTATTCCTTTGAGGTCTATAACATGTAATAAAACATCAAAATACAAGAATTTTATATCAAGTTTCATCATTTCTTCAATACACATTTTAGTCACGAAAATTCATATTAAATCCACATACTTGCTATCTAACATTCATACAAAACATGTAAATCAATTAAAATTCATATATCTTATAGCCTGAATAATAGACATGAACTTTCACATTATACGGTAAGCACCCGTCATCGTCATCTGTAACATAACTCAGCATACATATTAATTATAATAATTAATAATCATGGATTAATATTCTTTACACATCATCGATAATTAATGTTATCTTAATCAGAGTACTACAAGCTTTTAGTCACTCATGCGATAGCTGAAGTAACCTATTAAATTATCAAAATGTATAGGCATACCCTTAACAAAAATTGACACTACAAAGATATATTTTCAAAAAGTTGATTTTAATACAATATAAGACCAAATATGTGTAAAAAAGAATTATTTTTATCACTTCGGAAAAAAAAATTCAAAATCTTTTTACAATTTTATAAAGTATAAATATTGAAAGTGTGTGTGCATGAGTTGCAACTATTGAAATAAAATTGATAAACTGTGGACACATTCAATACAAGACCAAATTGAGAAAAGAAACATATATGATACTAGTCTTACTGTTTCTTCATGACTTCAACCTCTATTTGATCTTCACATAATTCTGGTTCTGAGAGGTTTCAAACTTCTCTTTACAATCTTGAGTTGATATGTAATTGAGATTTTTAAGCGTAAACAAACTCAAGATTAATCTGTTAATAATCTCACAATCACGTGTTTGTTATTCTTAAAATTAACATTAATTTAACCTTAGGACCAACTCTACAAGATTTTATCTTATTGTCTCAATCTCTTAATCCCCTAGCATTTGTTTCGAACTTAAATGACAGTACTCAATCAGACAATACCAATCTTTTTATCTTTATTGACAGCAACAGAAGCCAAATAGTCTATGATAATTCTCCTCAAGTCCCACATTTTTACAATAATATTCCACCATCAACAGTAGGTTTTATTGATCCCGTTATTCCTTCCCAACATCAATCCCATGTAAATAGTGTGTCTTTTAATAATGTTAATTATTTATACCGTGGAAAAGTTGTGAGTCCTTCCAAAACTTTAGCTCTAGCAGTTGTTATGTTTTATTGGCTTCACAGGTTTATACTTTTTCATAGAAACAAGCAAATCCATCATTGTGTCTTTTAAATCGTTTGTTCTGAGTTGATTATCGACGGTGTATGTATTAGGTCGTCTCACCAGTATTAGAGGTTTGGTCTCGGTCGACTGGCATTATCTAACGACTATAGTGGTTCTTATTAACGAGTTTTAGTCGCACTCGATTTTGTTTGTGCCGAGTAAGTATTTCCTTATTGGGTTTCGAATTCCTTTCTAACTTGTAGTCATTTGCAACTATTTACGTAATTTGTTAATTTAGTAATAAAATTTTCCCTTAAAAAATACGGTGTCTTTGGTTGTTCAAAAAAAAAAAAAAAAAAAAAAAACCTTCTGAAAAATTAAGAGTTTCATATCATTATTTCATATAATGAATAAATATTTGGTTTCTTTATTTTTTTTTAATTGATATTCCCTATTTTAAATTTTCTTCATTGGGTACTAATTACCGGGCTATTTATATGGAAAGGAAAAATATCTAAAAACACTCATTTGTTTTGTCAAAATACCACTTATATAAATGTCTAAAACACCCCATATATTTATAAAAATAAATCTAAAACATCCCTTAAAGTAATTAAATTTTTAAAAATGCCATTATTACCACAATCTATATTAAATGTTATTTTAGATGTAATTTAACTAAAAAATTAAAGAGAAAATTTTTAAAATGCTCAAATAAATATTCCAATCAAATAAATGCTTTAAAAATGCTTAAATTATTTTATGAGTTTTTCAATTTTTAAGATGAATTTTATTTAACATGTTGGTTCAATAATTTTTTAAACTGCATCTAATAAAGATTGAGAAGGGTAATTATGGTATTTTTAAAAATTTGATTGCTTCATAGGTATTTTAGGTCTGTTTTTATAAATCCAGGAGGTGTAAATTGGGTATTTACATAATAAGAGGAACAACAATGGTATTTTGGCATAACACATGAGGTATTTTAAGTATTATGCCTTACAAGAATGTTTAAATAGAGGACCTTGATTTGAAAATTGCTCTGTACATTTCCTCCTAAACTTGTAAGGTTTGACAACTTTACCCTAGACTTCAAATTTTGACAATTTGTTACTCCAACTTGCAAATGCTACAATGTGTCTTATTTTATCAATTTTGTTTATTCTTTTATATATATATATATATATATATTTATTTATTTATTTATTTAAGAGATTGACGTCCCTTTATGGACATCTGATAAAATTGGAATACTACAAGGAAAGATTAACGAAGCCACTGCAAAAGGATGACACGGACAAATCAAGAAATTATCCGGTCTGTTGCCCATAATAACCTGGCCGTATTCGCGGTTCTTCAGATAAACAGTTGAACTAAATCACCACAATAAAATCCCCCAGTTTCGGACAGGAAGATACACTAACATACCCGATTAAAGGAGTTCAATTCATCTCTCAAGTAAAGGATCCTTAAACTAGTACAATTCTCTACATGAGAAATATTTCTCACATGAATGGAGTTGCACACAATCATCAACTCACACCCTCTGCAATAAGACACAACCCAACCCAAAAAGGCAGAGAATCCCAAAATTCGCCCTCTAACTATATTTCATCTCAATTCTCAACAAGGCAAGAACAACAAAACGAAATGTCGCAGCTGGTCAAAATTGTCTTCACGGTTTTACCTCAAAATCATATCCTGAATGGCTGGTTTCCTGATCTGGATCTCTCCATCTTTGCCTCCTTCAACTTTGTTTTCTCGGTCGCGATTGCTTGGAAAGGATTTTGCCCCCCAAACTCATGCTTAGCCTGCCTTACCTTCTTTCTTTTTCCCCGGTCATATTCTTCATCCCTGTAAAAACAAATGGACGCATAACAGATATCTTGATTAGTTCTAACTTAAACAAATCCATCATTAGCTCATTTGTGAGAAATAAATTTAAACAATGGTAATATCTTGATTTTTTATTTATTTACTATTTGTCCAATTAAGGCAATGTTTAAATCAGAGGCTAGAGTCTAGTTACATATCAAAACGACATTTTCAAGCACCGTTCCTCCTTTTTTCTTTTTTTTTCTTTTTTTTTCTTTTTTTTTTTTTTGTGAAATGGGCCGTCCTTTTTAATACCTATAACATTAGCCGACTTTATGTCAACTACATTAACCCCGGTAATAGTTATTTATGAGGAAAAGATTTCTGAGAAATACGTAGTATTCATTGCTTCAAATCTTACTTGTGGCCAATAGGAAACCATGTCGCACAGAATTATACAAGTGGAAGAACTTTTTCATACATGAAAGCTCAATTTTCATAATAAGTTCAAATACGCTGAGGTTTTCATGTCCTTAAAGTACGTATGCTAAGTCTCAACCTTGGATATAATTAGCAATAAGGATTAAGAACATGAGACAATTCTAACTCACCACTCATCCGGTACATAACCGATGCTGACACTCTTCAAAGCATGAGATTTCACAGTCGCAGAAGGCAGTTCTATCCCATCCCAACGGGCAACTGCAACAGAAACACTTTAGTTAATAATTAAGCAACCCAGGATTAGGTAACTACTTCAAGGTAATTAGCAAAAAGGGGCCCCATCAAGTGAAGGAGAAAAAATCTCTAACCAACAGAATCCATGAACCCATTAATGCATCACATGCCCAACCCATCCGGATTTCCCGTTCATAAACTTCGAATTTTGCAAAGAAAAAGCTGCAGAAGAAAAAATCTAACAGCCCACGGTCCAAAACAAAAGGAAAGAAAAATAGTGTATATATCCAATTAATAAGGTAAATATCTGGTTTACAGATATCAACTTTCCCTGGGGCAACTGTGAACCACTCAATCATCTACAAACACGAATTACTGTGCAAGCGGCTAGCAAGCCATAGGAAAGGAGATAAAGAGACGCTGAGGTCGTTTGAGAAGCAGGTTCAAGTGTTTTGAACCAACAAAACTTTTTGAGGTTTGGTTCAAATCAATGATTTGATGTTTTGAACCAAGTTTATCCCTCCTTGTTTTCAATATTTTGAATCAAAACTTCAAAAGTTCAAACACATGTTTCAAAACTTCAAACTTCCACATTTTGAACCTATTTACCAAAAAGGGCCCTCTGTCAAATAATATGCTAGGAATTAGGATCAGCCAATATAACAAACACATTTTACAAGGAAGACCAGCCAAAATTGTTTAGTACATATATATATATATAATGGTGTGTGTTGTGCCGTGCATGTGTACACAATAAGAGATGGCTTTCAAAGGTACTGCATTTGCATCTGCACTTGGGAATGATGTGAAAGTGTTCTATGCAATGACTATTCAATGGAAAATAAGCCCAAGAGAAGAGAACATTCAAATTTCAAGATAAACCACTCACCGACTGTCTCCTCCACACCTCGCGTGGGCACATCCATCCAACCATTTTTCCTTTTGCAATCCTGGGGACTACCAGTTTCTCTAGCATTGAGATGGTTCATTGACGATGAGAAGCCAGAATGATTGTGCAATTGCACATCCGTTGCAAGAATAGAGCCATTTTGACCAATTCTTTCTTTAAATTCTGAATCTACAACATTTTTCAGTGAATCGCCATGAGAACTAACTCCATCTTTCTGTGCAGTACCAGTTGCTGGTACTCTTGATTTGGCTTCCTTTCTCTGAGAAATAGTTGAACTAGTTGAAATTTTTTGTGTCATCTCAGATGTAGATGGCCCAAACTCTGACGGGAAGCAATTGCTGGCCATCAAAAGCTCCTTTCTACGAGTTTTGGTATTCAAGGTCTTGTGTTTACTCCTTTTGTGCTTCTTTTTCTTTTGTAGAGCCAGGGATGCCCTTAAAAAGACACTTGAGCGAAAATTCATGCTTACAACCTGACGCCTTAAAATCTTCTTTTTCAATCTCTTGTGGGATTTGCAATCAAAATCTTCCACATGTAAAAATTCATTTGCAACAGTTGATGGCTCGGGTGACTTTATTGAATTCTGACTGCAGGAACTAGCCTTATCCACTGAATTTTCAGTGGCATTACCATTTGTCATGCTTCCAACCTGATAAGCAGAAATAAGAGTCAACATTTCACAATTGATTAGATGTTGACCAGAAAGATAGTTGACATGAATTAAGAGACTCGGAAAAATAAAATAAAAAAAGAGCATACGTGAATTTTTTCACAGTTTGGTTGTTCTGGTTGTTTACTCGAATCAATCTTCTCAGGTGGTAAAGCAATGGGCTCAGCAGAGTCCTAATAAGAGAGAGAGAGAGAGAGAGAGAGAGAGAGAGAGATAAATCAAGAAAAAGAAAAGTTGAAATCTAGAATGCTAAAGGGAAAAAAAAATGTAGTAAGATGCTCACAAGAGAAAAAAATTCACTTACCTCCTGGGACGTAATGTCAGTAATATTCTCAGCAGGAGCAGAGTTTTGGATTTCCTTTAGGTTGGGCGATGTGACAACTGATGCACACAACTTTTTAGTTGAACTTCCTTTCTCTTGGAGATCATTTATACTGGCAGCAGCAGTTGTTTCCGTGCCAGTTTCAAGCTTACGAGCATCATCCTTGTTGCTTGGTGGGCCAGAGGGCTTGAAGCATTGTGCTGGATTTTTATCAGGACAAGGAGGATTTTCTGATGAATCCTTTGAGAGTGATGCTGTCAATGATGGCTCAGACTTCGGCTGATCCAACTTTCCATTTGAAACGGGTATCCTTGGTGGAACAACATATGATGCATCTTTTTGTGCCACAGAAACAGAAGAGGCTACACCATTTGGTTTCACTTCAGTTGATCCATTTTGAACTGGTCTTTTTAAAGGTTGGTTATAAGGAGAAGTGTTTTTTCCGCATTCATTTACTTTGATACTCTCTTTCTGGAAGACATTCAAGGGTTTCTTAGAAGCAATATTACTTCTATCGCGTACATAAAACAACATGTAAGCCTTTTGTTCCAGGACTGTCTTCTCACTAACTTGCACAACCTGATACATCAGAAATGCATAAGATAGTTTGCCACATGCTGTATGACCATAACTAAAGAAACTTTTCCTTCATGATTTTCTATGGTTTTTAGCAAGCCTCCTACTGCTACGAGAAGTCAAATAAATAAATAAATTTCATTGCAGAGCTTTCAGCAGTAAAATAATAAGAAAATATATATATGTGTGTGTGTATAAACTAAAACTGTGTCCTAAACTAAACAAAATTAATACACTAATATTCCAAAACAACATACTAATATACTAAAACAATACTGCACATCCTAAAACCTGGTTGGTTCTCACTACCCATGCAACATATCAAATAGTATAGGGAAGAAAGTAAAAGGTACGACTAATAAAAAAAAAGGAAAGAAATCATATATAGAACTTAGAATTCAACCTACAAAATGTCAAAATCAATAAATTTACATTAGAAATTATCACCTCTAAAAAGAACAAAATCATGTTATTATTGATTAGGAAATCTTAAGCAATTATACATACCCGGCTATCGTCAAGGGAATACCACATGCCACTTGACGTCCGAACATAGCAGTAATAGTGGCCCGAATGGGTGCTCCAACCATAATGAACTAAAACCCCATAGAGAGTATATTTCAAATCTCCTGCCTGCTAAGCACAAGAAATTGACAGTACGTGAATACTACAGAAACCTTACACCTTTGTTAACAAAATAATAAAAGAACAGCAAAGAAAAGATATTACATGCACAGAGAGACTGAAAAAGAAGTGAAAATGTGGAACAGCATAACAGTATGCATAGACAAGTCTAAAAAGTATTGAATCTAAAATGTCTGCGCTAGGGTCACCCTACAATCCCTTATCTGATTCTTTTTTTTTTCTTTTTCCGAGTGATTCCTTGAAATGATATGGAATTTCTATAGCTCATATCACAACATCAATATTTCATCTAACTATTCCACTTCGAGGTTCAAGCTTGTAGGGCAGTTTCTTGGGAATAATAATTTTGAAAGAAAAACGAAATTAAGTTTTTCCTAGAATGAACACATTTATAGGAGTTTAAGAAAACCAAAGGAGAAACTGGCAGAAAAGTAAAATTGATCTTATTGTTCTTCTATGTTATATTTTCCCAACGTCCCTTTCATTTTTCAACCTACCTCCCTCATTTTGAATCACTCAGTTCATCTTTCTTTTATTTTTCGATATCATAGCAAAGACTCTGCTTACTTGTGTGCTCTTATTATTAACATTTCCGCTTCAAACTCATTCTTGAGCACAAGCAAAATAAAGAAACTTGCCAGAATTGGACATGGTCATAAAATATAGAAGAAAGTAAAGAGCAACAATTCGTAAGAGACTTCAAACACCAAATATTTGAATCTCATAATTAGAATTCAAATGCCCTATAAACTTTAAGAATATACCAAACAAACATACAAAACAAGGAAAAAATTTGTTTTCCAAAAATAAGATCAACTATAAATTTACTCACGTGGGAATCACTGACAAATGGTCCTAAATCTAAAGTTGGACCAAAAGTAACTTTCTTGTCGATCTTTTGACCAGGATCGTGTGCACGGAATCGTTTCAAATGGATGGTAAGAACATAAGGTGCCTTGTGAACTGTGAGCTGTTTGCGAGCCCTGACTTTCTGCTTGCATCGCTGGCACTGATATTGTCTTTCTCCTCCATCTAGTAGTTCCGCAGCAGTGAAGTTTAAAAGTGCTTTATGCAGGGAGTCTGCCTTGATTATTTCAAGACTTAAATCTAAGAATGGATCAAATTTATTGGAGCAAAAGGAGCACTGCAAGCATTTGACCTGAAGAACTAACATACAACCATTACATATCCACAATTGAAAAATAAATAAATAAATAAGTTAAAACAAAAGTGGATCAAAAACTTCTCAAGCTTTATAGATTTAAAACCAGACTTCCAAAGACTAAACTAGTAGTCTAGTTCCATGACGAAGCCAATACAAACTACAAGAAATCCAGCTAGCATGTAACAAAAGACTACCTGACTTCTAAGGCTACCACCAAAGATCTTGTGGACCAAACTCTTCTCGTAGGCACTAGGAGATTCACTAGGGACTCCAGAAGGTAAGCAACATTTATGCATGGATTCCAGCAAGTTTACCATGTATTCGTGTGCATCCTCCTGTCTAGCATTACGGAAATTTCGAGATATGCCTGTTTGGGCAGTCAAGTGAACAAAATCTGAACAATATAAACTATGAAACAGTCCGGTTGTGAATGCAAAACGTAATAATCAGTGATCTTCTTGCCTGCTGGAGATGGTGTCCATTTACTCCCTCTAACCATCCATTCTATCTACAGCTTAGAATAGAAGAGAGGTCATAAAAACCCAAACACCAAAATGGTAAGTTACAACAACAAAATAAAATAAAAAGGATACATCTCAAGTTCGACACAAGATCCTTAGGAGCTAAACTTCTTCCAGTTGATTGCAGAGCACGACTAACATGTTTCTGGATGGCACATAAAGCGCAAAATCCAGCAACATGGCCTTCACAAATAAACAAACGGAATTAGACAATGAAAATAAATTTAAGAATTCTCACACGCACATACATCCAAACACCTAATCAAAAGGACAACTGCCATAACATTTTTAAAGTGAAATTAAAAGAATTACTTTAACTCACAAAATTCAGATCAATGATCTAACATTAATTTGTCTCATTATGGGTGGGTTACGGCTTCCTTCATAAGATCTATGATCTATCAACTTAAATGGCTTCAAACATTTTCACCTTTAACTGAGAAATTAAATCATAAATCCCAAAATTCAGAAGCCAAAATAAATTCCCAATACTTGAAATGAAACCACTTCACATGATTTCCCTGACATTCTTCAAGAGTTCTGCCACATAAATATTTTGAGCAGGAAAAAATGTATGCACATACAAATGTGAATGCGTTAATTTAGTGTCCGCTCGAAAGAAGAAGAGCATTCAATGGAGGAGATGTCACTCACAAGAATTCTGATGCTTGCCACTTTGCAGGTATGCTGCTAAAGGCTCGGTGTATGTGAGACATTGCAGTACCGAGTTGAGAAAACAAGTGTTCCCCAGATTTTCTAAACCAGCACCCTGAAAATATTCATTCCATCCGTATATTTAAACTGCAATATATAATTCTTCCAGGCCTAGCGAGGCGGAAAAAACAGAAATTGTAATAATTAGCAGCTTTCTGCAAATGATTGTAGTTGTAACCAGTGATGGGGCTTGAAATTAACCGTAATATAAACAGGTAAGCAGGTTTTGTACTCTACTGAAGAAAAAAGATTTCCAAATGCTGCAAATGACATTTATTAGAAATGTATGTGAGGATATAGCAACGGCAACCGCAGAACAATTCTGGCAAGAAGAAGAGGCACGGCGGCATTTTGAGGGTTTTTCTGATTTTTTGTGTAAAATATGCTATTAATTCCATAGCCGAATGAGGCATAACGGGTATTGAACCCACATCTTGTTGAGCTGCTCCAGCAAGTACCCCTTTATGCAATTAATTACTATTCTCTCCCAAAAAAAGGAGACAAGAAAAAAGGGAGAAAAACCCGAATAAAAACAAGAAACACCCAAAAAATCCAAATAAAAGATTTGTTGAAAGCCAAAATAGGGTCTTGGAGACATCTAAAACACAAACCCAGTTGCAAAGACTTTGGAAAACACACCAAAAGCTTCAAATAAAACTGATAATTAGTCAGCTTTTAAACACGATGATAAACCCAAAAACCAAAACCAAAACGAAAAGAATAATTATGGAACTCCTCAAAAATCCACTAAACAACTTGCAATCCGCCAAAAGGAAACCCTGAAAATATACATTCCATCCATACAGTTAAACTGCTTTACAACTTCTTCCGGAACCAAACAGGGGAAAACACTGAAATAGTAGAAAATAGCGGCTTTCTGAAAATAATAATAACAATTAACAAGGGTTTGAAACTAGTTGTAATAAATAGCAAGTTTAGCACTCTACCGAAGAAGAAAAAAATTGAAAATTACAGCAAATGACACTTATTAGATACGTAGAAGAGGAAATAGCAACATCGACCGCGGGACAGTTCTGAGGAGGGGAAAAGGTGCGGCATTTCAAGGATTCTGAATTTTGTGTAAAGTTTATGCTCCTAATATTTATTCCCCCTCCCAAATTGTGCCATTTTTCTCATTCTCCCAAACTAAGTACTTCTGGAACTTAAAAGCCTAAAACACATATGGCATGGCATGTGTTTTGCGTAGTTTTCTCAAGAAAATTACCATTAAAGCAGTCAGAAACCGATTAAAAGCAACAAACACAGACAAAGGGAAAAAAAAAAACACTGAAAAACTTTAGTTGAAAGCCAAAATAAGGCCTTGAAAACAAACAAACCCATAAGCATAAAATTTGGAAAATCACACTAAAAGCTTCCAATAATGCTGATAATTTAGGAAACCAATTCAGCTTTAAAAGAACATGTTAGCATTCTTAAAATCTGCAAATTTTCCGGTTGTTATTAGATGCACGACAACCAAGCTAAATACTCTATGAAACAATCAGAAACCCGAAAACCAAAACCGAAACCGAAAGGAAAACGAAGAGAAAAGTAAATTTACGAAACTCCTCATAAAGCCAACTTACAATCCTCCGAAAGGTAATCCCGAAACTGAGCTCCGGATCCAATCCGCTCTCCGAACCCTCAGAACCCGCAACTTTCTTCCCACCATACCCCGATTGACCCGCACCGAACCCTGCCCGGCCCGAATCCGATCTAGTACCAGGGTTTAGCGTCTCGATATGAAAATCGCCGCCATTACTGAAGCCCTTCGGCTTCCTCGCCGGATGAAACTCGACCCTCCTCTGGAAAAGAGAAGAAGATCCGCTCATCGCGTCGGCCACGGAAAACCCCTTCGAAGAGGCTTTTTGCTCCGCGAGGAGTACCAAACTCTCCGCCATTTTCTAAAGCTCTGGCTATGGCGATTTTTCTCCTCTCTAGCTCTCCGATTGATTACCAAGAATCTCTGTAGTTTTACCGTTTTGGGAGTGTATAGAAATTAGGGTTTTTTGTATCAGAAGAAGAAGAAGCAGAGCTCGTTTTGCGGCTTCTGCGAAAGAGAGAGAGTGACGAAGAAACGGAGACGACTATTAAACCCTAACGAAGTGTTTTGCTGGACGGTTACGGTAGGCTTGTCCGTATTGTATTATCTCCCACCAGTTGGCTGAGACCGACCAGCGAGGAAGTGGATATTCGCTGTGGTTTGGTTGGTAACAATGACCAATGGAAAATTTCCGCGTAGGAAAAGAAGAGGTTGTTGAATAGGTGAAGTTACGAAAATGTTCGATGAAGGTTCACGTTCAAATTATGATTTTTAATTTTATTATATTATTTTTTTTATAAAAAATTTAAATTTTAAATTTTATAATTAAAAATCATGATTTGCATACATAAATTAAACAGGTCTACAGTGTTTTTTTTTTATAGAAATTTAAATTCAATTTTTTTACTACAGAAAATTTAAATTGTGATTTGAGTTGTTAGTAAAATAATAAGAATGATAAATTTAACATTTTACATCTTAAAAAATAACCTAAAAGTACTAAAAAATAATTTTTTAAAACTTTAATGCACCAATTTAAAATTATTAAAAATACATGATATTAAAAGACAATTATGTTAAAATACAAATACCAATATGAAATTTTCTCAAAAACATACCCTTTATTGGTGGTTACTAATTGCTTTCTTTACGAAAGCTATTAATTGCTTTTGTCTTATAATCAGTTATTTATTTGTTATTATTCTTTTATTATTTACTAGTTTAACTATGCGATGTATGTATGGAGTTGTAATTAAAATTTTAATAATAGAATACAAAAAATAAAATAGAAAAAAAAATTTATTAAGAAATTTAAAATGAATATATAAATAGTAATATATGATTAAATTGAGAAAGTATTTTAAATTATAAGATAACAAAATAAAAATTTAAGCATAAACAAGGAGATTATTCTGATGAGAAAGTTTAGATTTGAGATTTAAAAAATCTAAGAGAAAGAAGGAAAGTAAAAGAGGAACGAAAAAAAAAATTAGGAGAATATTAGTGTAAGTAATTATAGTAGACAAATAGTGCCAATAAGAAAATTAAAAAAAAGTGAAAGCGGAAAGAAAACTTGCCATAAGAGATATTTGTGTAAATGAAGTTTAAAAAGAAACAAAATAAGAGTTAAAAAATGGAGTTAGAAAGAAATGAAAAGGATTAAAAAAGTGAGAGGGGCAAAGTGAAAGTAAGAAAATAAATGAAGGGTAAAGCACCACACGGTGCATATTAGATGACGAATGGTGAATAGTATGCCTTAAAAGTTGTTTACACATAAAAAAAATGAAAGAAATGAAAAAGATTGAAAAAATGAGAGGGGCAAAGTGAAGTAAGAAAACAAATAAATGACAGAGTAAGAAAACAAATGAAGGGCAGAGCACCAAACGGTGCGTATGGGACGACGAATGGTGAATAGTATGCCTTAAAAACTATTTGCACGTATTAAATTATAATTGGCAAAAGAATTATTTGCACAAATAAATTTTTAAAATGATATTACTATGTTTAGACCACATGTAGCATGAGTAAAGTATAATGAGTAAGGGTTTTATGAGGGGTTAAATAGTAAAAGAAACAAATAGATCCATAAAAAAATGATTTGGACTGGTGACACATTTTGAATTTTTATTTCAGATACGTTTTTCTTCCTAGAAAACTATTGAACTTTCTCTTAAAATGCATGAGTCTAGATGTTAGTCCATTACTCTTGATTAATATCCTATTAAGGATATTAATCAAGAGTAATGAGTAAAAATTCAGACACATACACTATAAGGGAGTATTTGTTTTATTTTTCCCTTTTTCCTTAAACTTTTTTTATTACTTTTTCATTTTGAAATACTTACATACCATTATTGTATTAGATTCATTTTGAAATAGATAGTTTATTAATTAAAGAGTCAAAACTGTATATTTCATTAACTAAATAAAATTTTGATTTAGTTCTACAGTTCAAAAAAAAAAATCCAAAAGCATAGAGACACATACCCACGCACACAAACAACTCGATACCCATAGAAGGAAGATATAGTGAAATGAAAAAATAATATGATACACAAATAATCATAATTGAAGTCATAATTGATCATAATTAAAGAGACTATTTTGGTAAAGATTGTTGAGATTGAGGCTCTGTTTGATAACGTTTTTGTTTTTTTATTTTTTTAAACAAGAAAGAAACAACATTTTTTTTTTTAGTTTTTGTTTTTCATTTTTTTAAACAAAAAACATGTTTGGTAACCTCCATTTATTTTCTATTTTTAAAACAAAAACAAAAAACGTGTTTGGTAACCATAATTTTATTATATATTTTTTAAAACAAAGCAAAAATTCCACTTATATTTGATGTTGAGATCGGAACAACGAGATGGAATTAATGTCGAGATCGGACTGACGTGTTGGGCCCAATATTAGAATCGAACGATTTGTCATGCACGATGTCGGGATTAGACCAACGTATCGGCCTTGGTATCGGAATCAGACCAACATATTCGACCCGGTGTTGGATGAGACCACAGTCACTTGGTTATTAATTGACTCCTCTTCTAAATTTAATTCTTCATGTACATCAAAAAGAGTGTCTTCACTTGTATTCATTCGTATAAAATTGTGAACTGCACAATAAGCAATGACAATATACCGTTGTATGCTCAAATCTTAAGGAGGCATTTGCTTCAGAAATGGAAAACGAGCCTTCAACACTCTGAAACACTCAATGACATTTCTCTTTGAGTAATGCCGATAATTGAAAAGTTATTTTGGGCTTCTAGTTGACTTCGACTCTTTCTGTATTGATTCAAATGATATCTCTCCCTGCGATATGGTGAAAGATATTCGGACATGTTTGTATATACAGAATCAACAAAATAATACTTTCCTAATTCAGTAATAATTTATGTTAGAGTTTTAATTTGTAATTTACACTTATGGATTGTTTGGTTGCTAGATTCATTTCATGATTCGAATCATGGTTCATGGTTCGCTACAGTATTTTTTCTTACAAAAAAACACACGTAAATTAATAATGATTTTAAATTATGATTATGAATCCATCAATCAAACGTCTACTATGATTTAAGATAGAAACAAAAGACATATGTACACTTACCATGCGGTGGCATTGGAAATTTATTCTCTTCTTTTGAAAGCGTTTCAAAAAACCCGCCGCTCATTTGCCATTCCTTCCCATCGGGCCATAACATATATAAATCGTATGTCAAATGAGCATGCGCACATCATATTTTGAGTTGGTTGTACTTTCTTCCACGATATGAAATTTGATCTTCGGTTGGAAAATGTGCTGCAACATGAATTCTATCTATAACTCCAATGCAATTCTACAAATATAAAATTTACATAAACACTAGGAGCACATAAAAAAATTATAAGTTATAATTTGGCGGAGTCAGTGGTCGGCCGCCGGTTGCTGGAGCTGGCCATTGTGCACTTGACTATAGGGAGAAGAAGAGATGGGCGGAAAGGAGGCTTAGGGGTATTTTTGAGTTTTTAATACTATTTAAAACTTAAAATATCAAATTATGCTATAATCTATTATCTTAAAAAAAATATATGTTATAATTTAGCCCGTTTGGTTCATGAATTAGAATCATGAGATTATAATCATTTTCGATTTACGTGTATTTTTTGTGAGAGAAAATACTGTAGCTAACCATAAACTATGATTCGAATCAGAGAACGAATCCTCCAACCAAACAAGCTCACATCTAAATAAATATACTATTTCTTTCCTTCTTCTTCTTTTTTTATGGAAAAAAGTTGGGCTATTTACAAGAACGTCTTCTCTGAACACCTTGAATCTAAAAATATCTATTATTTTCTTTATTTACAAAACTATCTATTATCATACATATAAAGACTTTTATATCCTTATAAAATGAAAACGTAAAAAAAATGAAAGTACTGAAATGGAAACTTAATAAAATAAAACCTGAATATAAAATATTGAAATTTTAGATAGGTTTTATTATTTCATTTAAATAATTTTTTAAGAAAGGGAAAGTTTCTTTAAGAAACAAATAAATACAGATACCATTAAAAAAAAGCTACTAAACAACCATCTACACGTTTTAAAAGCATCCTACAACAGGACAAAAAATTTTTTTTAAAAAAAAAACCCTAAAAATCAAAAGACAGCTAAAAACCTCCTTAAAAAGCTCATGCACCTTTCATTAATTATGAAAAAGAACAAATATCAAGTTTCTGAGTAATATGAAAGAATGAATACACCAAAAGGAAAGTTACAATCTGTCAAATAATTTTCACTATAAAAATGAAAATCGAGATTATAATACAGAAAAGACACAATACTAACGAGTAAGGATGGCAATTTATGGTAGTGAATCGTGTTTGTGTCAACCTATTTATTAATCATGTCAGAAAATATTAATTTAAACACGACATGTTTATTAAACGTGTCAGAAATGTCAACTCAAACACGACTCATTTATTAATCGTGTTAATCGTGTCAACCCATATAATTTATTTAAATTAATATATTGAATATATAACTAATATAATAATGACTTATTTAACATGATCAAGACAGATTTAACATGTTTATTAGTCAATTTATCTTTTTCTTTAAAAAAATAAATGAATTTTACCTACAAATATTAAAATTCACATTATTTGTATTTAATATGTCATATAAACTTTTATGTTATATCACATATCATTAGATTGTAGATGACACATATAGTTAGTCGTGTCAATTCGTGTTAAGAGGTCAACCATAACCTAACCCATTTATTAATCGTGTCAATCTGGTTATGACCAAAACTCATTTATAGGAAACCTAAACCCGCTAAATTTATATGGGTTTCAAGTTGTGTCGCTATCTAAATTATCTGTCCTACTAACGAGTATGCCTAAGCCAATAAAGATAAAAAATATATATTAAAAAAAGAAAAAAGGAAGATATTATTATGAAACAATTTATAATACAGGAGAAAGACGATAATGTACTCATCAATAAGCATTTTCAT